AGTAAATGTCCAATTATCTCCCCTTGTGATGAATGCAAATTGTTTGTCCTTTCATACGGAAGGGTATCTAACCTTTATACAAAGACGCGGCCATTCTGCTAAAATAATAATCAAACGCTGAAATTCCAGCACAAGTGATCCGAATCATTGTGCAGCAGTATTATGTTAAGGCAGTCACGACATGCAGCTGAATATAAAGGAATATTTACTCAACTTCCTGGTTTACGGACATACCTACATAGCACTGATAATCCACAAAGCCATTGCAGAGACTTTCACTGGTTGTAATATTTTTGTTGTCACACAACTCACTTTCCTCGGTGTAAACATTCGTGTATGTCTGACATTTAAACACACATCCGACGAAGCATACATTAATCTGGGTATACTTCAGACTTTATCCGGGTGATAGTGATCTTTCATGCATGACTACAGGCAACGTATGTTTGTTTACCCGAGCAAGACAGATGATTATAGATATGCATATGTATAAGGCTGTGGTTTAAGTGACATTCTATAGAATTCTTCAGTTAAATACAGACTTATAAACATCCGGGATAAACGTAAACGAATTGGTTTCTGTTTGTGCTGATCGTTAAATATAGACGAATTGGTATTGGGAATAAGGTGCACGGATTTGGGTGAGCATTTCATTATAGAGTATTTTCAAATATATTATGCAATATTAGGAGCCATGGTTTTCGAACACAAGGAAATACCGCCATGTCTTCTAATTCTATTTTGGTTACAACCTTAATTACATAACCACTGTGTCCTTTCTGAGTAAGAAACTACTTGGAGGTGAAATATGTTGTCTATAACCACCAATAGTTTAACACACATCATCTAACAGAGATAAGAGCCTGATCTCCCTGTATAACGCAGCAAGTATCGGTGTGTAGGAACCTGCTCTCCCTGTATGTCGGTGTGTAGGAGCCTGCTCTCCCTGTATGTCGGTGTGTAGGAGCCTGCTCTCCCTGTATGTCGGTGTGTAGGAACCTTCACTCCCTGTATGTCGGTGTGTAGGAACATTCTCTCCCTGTATGTCGGTGTGTAGGAGCCTGCTCTCCCTGTATAACGCAGCAAGTATCGGTGTGTAGGAGCCGGTGTGTGCTCTCCCTGTATAACGCTGTATGGTGTGCAAGTATCGGTGTGTAGGAACTGTATGTCGGTGTGTAGGAGCCTGCTCTCCCTGTATGTCGGTGTGTAGGAGCCTGCTCTCCCTGTATGTCGGTGTGTGTATGTCGGTGTGAGCCTGCTCTCCCTGTATGTCGGTGTGTAGGAACATTCTCTCGCTGTATGTCGGTGTGTAGGAGCCTGCTCTCCCTGTATGTCGGTGTGTAGGAACCTTCACTCCCTGTATGTCGGTGTGTAGGAACATTCTCTCCCTGTATGTCGGTGTGTAGGAACCTTCTCTCCCTGTATGTCGGTGTGTAGGAGCCTGTTCTCCCTGTATGTCGGTGTGTAGGAACCTTCTCTCCCTGTATGTCGGTGTGTAGGAGCCTGCTCTCCCTGTATGTCGGTGTGTAGGAACCTTCACTCCCTGTATGTCGGTGTGTAGGAAGCCTCTCTCCCTGTATGTCGGTGTGTAGGAGCCCTCCCTGTATGTGGTGTGTGCTCTCCCTGTATGTCGGTGTGTAGGTGTGTCCCTGTATGTCGGTGTGTCTCTCCCTGTATGTCGGTGTAGGACCTTCTCTCCCTGTATGTCGGTGTGTAGGAGCCTGCTCTCCCTTTATGTCGGTGTGTAGGAACATTCTCTCCCTGTATGTCGGTGTGTAGGAGCTCTCCCTGTATGTCTCTCCCGGTGTGTATGCTCTCCCACTCCCTGTATGTCGGTGTGTAGGAACCTTCTCTCCCTGTATGTCGGTGTGTAGGAGCCTGCTCTCCCTGTATGTCGGTGTGTAGGAGCCTTCTCTCCCTGTATGTCGGTGTGTAGGAACCTTCACTCCCTGTATGTCGGTGTGTAGGAACCTTCTCTCCCATTCTCTCCCTGTATGTCGGTGTGTAGGAGCCTGCTCTCCCTGTATGTCGGTGTGTAGGAACCTTCACTCCCTGTATGTCGGTGTGTAGGAGCCTTCTCTCCCTGTATGTCGGTGTGTAGGAACATTCTCTCCCTGTATGTCGGTGTGTAGGAACCTTCTCTCCCTGTATGTCGGTGTGTAGGAGCCTGCTCTCCCTGTATGTCGGTGTGTAGGAACCTTCACTCCCTGTATGTCGGTGTGTAGGAACATTCTCTCCCTGTATGTCGGTGTGTCGGTGTAGTAACCTTCTCTCCCTGTATGTCGGTGTGTAGGACATTCACTCCCTGTATGTCGGTGTGTAGGAACATTCTTTCCCTGTATGTCGGTGTGTAGGAACATTCACTCCCTGTACTCCCTGTATGTCGGTGTGTAGGAGTTCTCCCTGTTCTCCCTGTATGTCGGTTCTCTCCCTGTATGTCGGTGTGTAGGAACCTTCACTCCCTGTATGTCGGTGTGTAGGAGTCTGTTCTCCCTGAATGTCGGTGTGTAGGAACATTCTCTCCCTGTATGTCGGTGTGTAGGAACCTTCACTCCCTGTATGTCGGTGTGTAGGAGCCTGCTCTCCCTGTATGTCGGTGTGTAGGAACCTTCACTCCCTGTATGTCAGTGTGTAGGAGCCTGTTCTCCCTGTACGTCGGTGTGTAGGAGTCTGCCCTCCCTGTATGACGGTGTAGGAGCCTGTTCTCCCTGTATGTCGGTGTGTAGGAGCCTGCTCTCCCTGTATGTCGGTGTGTAGGAACCTTCACTCCCTGTATGTCGGTGTGTAGGAACATTCTCTCCCTGTATGTCGGTGTGTAGGAGCCTGCTCTCCCTGTATAACGCAGCAAGTATCGGTGTGTAGGAGCCTGCTCTCCCTGTATAACGCAGCAAGTATCGGTGTGTAGGAACATTCTCTCGCTGTATGTCGGTGTGTAGGAGCCTGCTCTCCCTGTATGTCGGTGTGTAGGAGCCTGTTCTCCCTGTATGTCGGTGTGTAGGAACATTCTCTCCCTGTATGTCGGTGTGTAGGAGCCTGCTCTCCCTGTATGTCGGTGTGTAGGAGCCTGCTCTCCCTGTATGTCGGTGTGTAGGAACCTTCACTCCCTGTATGTCGGTGTGTAGGAACATTCTCTCCCTGTATGTCGGTGTGTATGAGCCTGTCGGTGTGTCTCCCTGTATGTCGGTGTGTAGGAGCCTGCTCTCCCTGTATGTCGGTGTGTAGGAACCTTCACTCCCTGTATGTCGGTGTGTAGGAGCCTGCTCTCCCTGTATGTCGGTGTGTAGGAACATTCTCTCCCTGTATGTCGGTGTGTAGGAACCTTCACTCCCTGTATGTCGGTGTGTAGGAACCTTCACTCCCTGTATGTCGGTGTGTAGGAGCCTGCTCTCCCTGTATGTCGGTGTGTAGGAACCTTCACTCCCTGTATGTCGGAGAGTAGGAGCCAGAACTCCCAGTATCTCAGAGTGTAGGAGCCTGTTCTCCCTGTATGTCGGTGTGTAGGAGCCTGTTCTCCCTGAATGTCGGTGTGTAGGAACATTCTCTCCCTGTATGTGTGTGTCCTGTATGTTGTCGGTGTAGGAGCCTGCTCTCCCTGTATGTCGGTGTGTAGGAACCTTCACTCCCTGTATGTCAGTGTGTAGGAGCCTGTTCTCCCTGTACGTCGGTGTGTAGGAGTCTGCTCTCCATGTATGACGGTGTAGGAGCCTGTTCTCCCTGTATGTCGGTGTGTAGGAGCCTGCTCTCCCTGTATGTCGGTGTGTAGGAACCTTCACTCCCTGTATGTCGGTGTGTAGGAGCCTGCTCTCCCTGTATAACGCAGCAAGTATCGGTGTGTAGGAGCCTGCTCTCCCTGTATGTCGGTGTGTAGGAACCTTCACTCCCTGTATGTCGGTGTGTAGGAGCCTGCTCTCCCTGTATGTCGGTGTGTAGGAACATTCTCTCCCTGTATGTCGGTGTGTAGGAACCTTCACTCCCTGTATGTCGGTGTGTAGGAACATTCACTCCCTGTATGTCGGTGTGTAGGAACCTTCACTCCCTGTATGTCGGTGTGTAGGAACATTCACTCCCTGTATGTCGGTGTGTAGGAACCTTCTCTCGCTGTTTGTCAGTGTGTAGGAGCCTGTTCTCCCTGTACGTCGGTGTGTAGGAGCCTGTTCTCCCTGAATGTCGGTGTGTAGGAACATTCTCTCCCTGTATGTCGGTGTGTAGGAACCTTCACTTCCTGTATGTCGGTGTGTAGGAGTCTGTTCTCCCTGAATGTCGGTGTGTAGGAACATTCTCTCCCTGTATGTCGGTGTGTAGGAACCTTCACTCCCTGTATGTCGGTGTGTAGGAGCCTGCTCTCCCTGTATGTCGGTGTGTAGGAACCTTCACTCCCTGTATGTCAGTGTGTAGGAGCCTGTTCTCCCTGTACGTCGGTGTGTAGGAGTCTGCTCTCCCTGTATGACGGTGTAGGAGCCTGCTCTCCCTGTATGACGGTGTAAGTAGTAAGAAATTGCCGGTATAAGCGCATTTTCAAATTAGGGTTGAAAACCAACCACTAACACATCTGACTCAACAAGCTCAAAACCAACCACAACAATGTTTAAACAGGGTCTAAATGACTTAAAGAAAAAACATTCTATAATGTAACGAGCGGCCTCGCAAGCTCGACTATCTCCTTATTGCTGACCCATGAATTGAACGTCTCTGGATAACCCTTCCACTTGACCAGCGACCTCGTTTTACCCTTCTTGACGACTTTTTCTATCCTGTATACCTCTTGGCCCGTCTTCTGCAACTCGGGTTCGTAGAAGGTACCCCGAATTTCTTCTCCGTTTTGGTCGCTAATCTTATACGTTACGGGCGACGTGCGTTGTACCGCCGTTATCGTGAATACTTCTTCCGTCCATCTTGATAGCCCTTCTCAAAAGTTTTCTTTATCTTGCTTATCCGCACGGCGTCTCCGACGGAAAACTTGGGGTGAATTATCCTAGGCTCATCATGGTTGGGGTATAGATTCATCCACACTCGGGTTTCATTTTTCTTCTTTCTGGCTTCGGTGGGTGTATGTTTTGTTGACGAGTGTGTCGTATTATTGTACTGATCGACAAGTTCGTCGAGCACATTGATGTAGAATTGGAGGAAAAATATTTCCACATTTTTTCCTTCATCGTTCCGATCCATCTCTCCACCACACTCGATTTTTCCTCGTTTTCAATCGAGTATAACTCGACTAAACTGTGCACGTCTTTATTGTAAAACTCTTTGCCCTTATCCACCCAAATCTTTTTCGGTTTCCTCCCCTTGAGTATCTTTTTCAGTGCAGCTGCGACCGATTTCCCCGTTTTATCTTTTAATGGCACTAACCAACCGTACTTGGAGAAAATGTCGATAACGGCAAGGAGATACTTGGTGCCGCGATTAAATTTCGAGAATGCCTGCATGTCTACCAAATCTGCGGCCCAAATTTCATCGATGCCATTAACACGTACCCTCCTTCTCTCAAACTTTTTTCTCATGGGTCTGTGTAATTCTTCAGCCAATGCTTTGAGTGCTGTAGGTGTTGAGCTCATCTCCTCAACCTGCTGCTTTTTTCCCCTCCCACTCCCATTCCAAACCTCATCTTAGTGCCAATGATCTTGTCCACAATAGATCTATCCAACCTCTCTCTAAGTGTAGGGTTAACAATTCCACCCAGTTCAGCTAACATATTCTTGTCACATACCCTATTTCTTGTATTAGTGTCCCTGTTTTTCAAGTAACACACATCGTGATGGTATGCGGCATTATCAACCCTGTTGATAGGTTTACTCCATTCCTTTGGTGTGAGGTCTGGTTTCAGCCTTTTACCGAGATTAGTCCCAGGTCCGTAAAATTATGTCCCGGGAGATGCATTTCAAACGGTAAATGATTGATGGCTTCATTCACCATTGATCCGCCCACAAATTGTGTTTTTGTAGCCCCACACACGACACATTTACCCCGTTTTATATTTCGTCCATTTTTAGAAACAGTGTTTTGAACATCGGATGGAAAACGGTCTTGCTGGTAGACGAGACGGCGTACGGCCTCGTCTTTTTCTCACGCCCGTTGGTCAGGTTGACAAATACGGTGACACCCCATTCTTCGAGGGCGGTAACGTCTTTTTGTGTAGGCCAGGCCCCGAATAGACCCGAGTTGCAGAAAAAACGAACATGTGACTGTGATATATTTCTTTTCCAACATTATTTTTTATATAAAAAAATATATTTATATTAAAAACATGGAAGTGAAAGATTTATCGTGGAATGAAATGGTATCAAAACGGTTCAATCACAAGCTTCTGCCAAAAAGCATAAGGGGAGTGATTGTAGGCAAATCGGGGTGTGGTAAAACCACACTTTTGCTCAATCTTTTACTGAGACCGGGTTGGCTTGACTATAACAAGCTAGCAGTATTCGGCAAGAGTCTATTCCAACCCGAATACCGCATCCTCAAGAAAGCTTTTGTAGAGAAATTGCCAAAAGAAGCTATTATGCGCTTGTTTGACCTGCGCGATGAGGTAATGAGGTTAGATGTGTCACCCGCAGCGCTTGTTGAGGCATGGTCTAAAGAGATTAAAGACAAGTCTGACATACAATGCTGCTTTTACGAATCTGCCGAAAACGTCCCAGACCCCCATGATTTAAGTTCCGAAAACAAGAATTTAATGATATTTGATGATTTGCTGTTGGAGAAACAGAATTACTATATTCGTGGAAGACACAGCAATGTAGATTGTTTCTACCTTTCACAAAACTACTTCAAGCTACCACGCCAAACGATAAGAGAAAATGCAAACTTTATCTGCTTGTTCCCAGAAGACCTGAAGAATATCAACCATATCAATAATGATCATGTGAGTCAAGACATGTCAAAAGATGAATTCAAAGGTCTGTGCAAGGTAGCATGGGAAAAACCACATGGGTTCGTAGTGATTGACCTGACCAGTAACAGGCAGAATGGTAAGTACAGAAGTGGATTTGATACATTTTATATTCCGAGTTAAAAAAAAAATATTATATTATAAAAAAAATGGAACCAATACTTGAAAAAATAGCTGAAAACACTGAGCCTAAAAGCTCGTTTCAGATTGTCCTGAATAGCAACAAGACAAGATTTAGAACTAGGTTCAATCCACCAATTCAACTCGACAAAAAGAAAAAGCACGAGATGGCACTCGTCATTCTCGAGACTTACTACTCTTTTCCAAACATTAATTATTTTAGATACTCACCCGATGGCGGAACAACGTGGGTCGAAATTTATTTACCAGAAGGTATCTATAACATCGATGACATTAACGACACAATTCAACAAAAGATGAGGCAGAATGGACACTATGGCAGTGTCAATGAGGAATATTACGTTACAATTTCTGCAAACACGAACACACTAAAGACTGTCCTTATTTTAGATAATAATTACCAGGTAGACTTTAGGCATCCCAACTCCATTTCCAGTGTATTAGGATTTAACCACGACATTTACGCACTAGGATTTCAGGAGTCTGAAAATGTCGTCAACATTCTTAGTATTGTCAGCTTGCATGTTAATTTTGACAATATCTCAGGGAGCTACGTTAATGGAGCTTCACAACACACGATATACTCCTTCTTTCCAAATGTCACCCCTGGACATAAAATAGTTGAAACACCACGAAATTTGGTGTATCTTCCCGTGACACTAGACACCATACACAGTCTTGAGACTTCACTCACCGACCAAAATGGCACGCTGCTAAATTTAAGAGGAGATAATTTATCATTGAGGTTTCACATCAGACAAGTGTAATAAAAAAAAGATTCGTATATATAAAATGTCACGATACACAAATGTTAAATTGAATGTTTCAGAAGGGCAGAAACAAAAATTACGAGAGGCCCTTCAAAACGGTTGTCCTGTCAGTGTCCGTTTTGGTCACGAAGATTTGAACGGTGAAGATGTCTTAGCCCTGACAGACAGACAAGTGAAGAGATTAGCCAAAGCCTATGAAGGTGGTAAAGGAATAACCATCAAAATGAGTAAAGCTCAACTCAAACACAATATGAAAGTTGAGGGCGGTTTCCTTGGGATGCTTGCTGGTTTGGCAGCGCGTGCATTGCCTGTTTTGGCAAAGACGGTACTTCCAGCATTAGGCATTGGCGCTCTTTCTGGTTTGGCTAGTTCGGGAGTCCAAAAGGTGGTTGGGAACGGGTTGTATCTCAAGAAAGGAGGTTGTGTTTGCCAGATAGAGACAGACGGAAAAGGACTTTATTTAGGACCCGCGACCGGTTCGGGTCTAGAAGCCGTTGGTGATGGACTTTATATAAATAAAGAAAGGAGATGGTATAATGGGAAGGGTCTTATCCTGGGACCTAACAGCCCATTCAACAACATTCCGATCCTCGGTGCAATATTATGAGTGTTTCATGCATACGTGGTCATGAACATATATATATATTAAAATATATATATATATATATATTCAAAAAAGAATGCCTGTTCATAAATTTGGTGTAAAACCGAAAAATTGGTATAACTTGCCAAGACAGCCGAAGACGATTTACTGGATACCGGTAATGGATGTAAAACATCCTCCACAGAAGGTGCAACCAGTCACGTGGGAAATTTTCAATCAAAATAAACTTACCATCGGATCAAAAGAAAATAAAAAGATTAGATTAAGGTTTGGATTGAGGATGACTAGTGGTATGGTTTTAACGACACTAAAGCAAAGCCTTAAAATGAGGCAATGCAGTATACAAAATGAAGCCATTCTCGAAAGTGTTGATGATGTGGTGATAAACATCGCGAACAATTCGAACGGGGTTGTTGTCATTGAGGAAAACGAGCCTCTATGTCTCATACATTATATGACATAAAAAAAATCTCACACATATAAAAATATGGAAATCAACAAAGTGAATAATGATACGGCGCTTTATCCAAAGTTGCCAACAGCTCCCCCTGAAGATGAGGGACAAGGTTATCGTTTACAGAAAATTAACGAGATTCAGAGGATTCTCGAGGAAGAAAGAGAAAAGCGTGAGACCCTCAGCAAGAAGTACCACAGAGCCGTGAAGATAGTGGATAATGTCGATGTTGGTCTTATCGGCGTCATCATGGGGCTTGGCATCGGTGGTGTTAGCCTTTTATCTACGGTAGTAGCAGCACCGATTGTTGTCGTGATGGAGGGCGTTGCGCTTGCTACCGGAGCTCTGAGTATCGTCGGAAAATATGTGAATAGGAAGTGTGCGGCCAAAGCCGAAAAGCACGAAAAGATCAAGGTTTTGGCACAAGCAAAACTGAACACGATATCGTCGTACATTTCGAGGGCGCTAGCCGATAATGCAGTAAGTGATGAGGAATTTCAATTCATACTAGCAGAGTTGGTCAAGTACCGCGAGATGAAGGAAGAAATAAGAAAGGTTTCCAAGAAGCACATGGACTATGACCTACAGCAATCCCTGATCGAACAGGGAAGGCAGGAAACCCGCGAGTCCTTCCGCAAGTTGTTCGAGAAAAATAATCGAGATGAAAAGTGAGATGAAAATCGAGATGAAAATCGAGATGAAAAGTGAGATGAAAATCGAGATGAAAAGTGAGATGAAAAACGAGATGAAAATCGAGATAAAAAATATTATCTTTAGAAACAAAAACAAAATTTCTAAAGGAGTATGTATGATTTGGCCCCCTCTTCAAATTTGATGAAATACCTATATTGAGTAAGGATAGTAACGTAATTAATGAATTGGGGGATTTTAGCATGTTTTCTTTCTCGGCGCATGCGTAGTGGCACTTCAAATATAGGTGTCACACCAGTATTTTTTAAGAGAAAAATGACAAAGCATTACAAAAAGATTCTGTAACTTTTAATTATCATACAAATATGCTGCTTAATATTGATGTAATTAAATCACTTATGGAAGTTATCAACTAATGGCTTTTGCTAGCAAAGGCTTAAATTAAACTTTTAATATATTTACATTTGGTACCTTAGCAACGAATTATATCACATAGCAACGGCATGGCTATAAGATTTATTACTGGTAACAACATTTTCTATCATCCGATTTTGTGAAATGAAAACAAATCATAGCATATGTGACATAATTATATGGACTAACTTTTTTTACAAAGGTATTTTAATGCAAACATTTGGGAAGTGACAATAATTTCCCTAGCAACAGAATGTGTCGCATAGCAACAACAATACCTTATATTGATAACAACATTTTCTTTCCAGTTTCAAGATTTTTCTTCTGCTGTACTTAATGAAAACAAAATATTTCTCATGTTTTCAGTAGCTAAACTTTCTAATAAAGGTATCACAATATAGATATTAGAGTATTGATCAAAGTTGGTGCTCTAGCAAAGTATTCTGACACATGGCAAGAATATGACCTAAACTGTTATTTTTTTTATATTGTTTCAATGTTTTTTATTGTACGTTATTTAATGAAAACAGATCATTATCACTTTCCATGGACTAACCTTTTCTTACGAAATATGTATAATATAAACATTTTGATACAGATCAAAGTTAGTACCCTAGCAACAGAGTCTATCACATAGCATACCTGTAATTGTTAACATATTCTTTTCTGTTACAATATTTTTCCACTTGTTACTTGTTGAAAGCGAAACACTTATCACATAATTTCATTGGTAAAACATTTTTGTTATAAAGGTATACTAGTGTACACAATATAAAAAACTGATTATTAATCAAAGTGTGCAACAAAGTCTATCACATAGCAAGAACATCACCTAAGCTGTTATCGGTTTCTATTTTGCTTCATACATCTGCACTGATGCTTTTGAAAGCAAAGCATATTCGAAGCATATAATCAATGTATAACCTTTGGTTTTGTTCACAGAATTTAACAAACATGAAAATGAACAAGTGATAAGCGACTTCAAATTATATCTACTTTAAATACATGTAGTGTTACAGTTTATTCCTCTGGATACTCCTCATCCGTGTCGGAATCTGTTGTTGGAATGTCAGCTGCATCAGCCAAAGACTTTGTCGAAATAGTCACTGCGCCAGATGATTCGCCTTGGAAGCGTTCATATCCTAGAAACCACAATGCACTTGCAATGTGGGCACAGCAACCGACCACTCTTGAGCCTACTTTACAAGTGCAGTACCAACCTTTGATGGGATCATCAGAAAGTGAGTCATACTCAATCCACAAAGAATGTGCTCTGCTGTTACAGTGTCGAGACTGTATTTTTAACTTGATCAGATTAGGGTTTTCTGAGAAGACCAGCAACTCATACAGTCCATCTTCAACACAGTGCTCCTTTGTATAACTTGGAGCCTGTTTAAGTTGATAAACTCCCATGGTGATGTTTCGTACGTCATCCATGGAAAGTTTAGGGAAGTCCATCAAGTCTTCTGCTTCCAGCTTTTGATAAACAGTTCTCTTATTTAGTAAGTTGTTGCTTTCCAAAAATGCCTTCACTGTGTTTGGTTCCTTGGACTTTGCAAGCATTGCCCTGCAATGTGCTTCTGATGTTGCGTCAGTTTTCACAAGTGGTTCTTTAAACCTGTTGATAAGAGGACAGATGATTCTCACAAAGTCACCAATAGGAGGGATCAGGGTATTTGGAACAACTTTGTCAAACAGTTTCCATTGTTGTATCCTGCCATTCACGCTTTCTACCACCCATCTTACTTTTGTGACTAAACCAGAAAGGTTCGCCTCTTCGGTGCTGTGCTGCTTGCAGCTTTTCTGAAGATAGAAGGGCATTTTCACATCGAAACCTCGGTCTTCTAGAAACCTCACAGCGTCCCTAAACCCCCTGTCTACAATGAATACGCCGCCGGGTTTGAACCACTTGCTAGCTTCCTCATTTGCCCTAAGCATGTGTTTTGTAATGGAGGCATCGTTGTTTGAGCCATCAGCCAGGTAAGGTCCGAGCACATCCAGAATGTAGCCATCCGTTCCTACAAGCATCATTGGTTTAACGAGTGGTCTGTTCTTGTGCATAGAATAGGACCTCCTTTGGAATTTGTAGTCTGCACTCTTCTGGATGTAAACATAGGTGCCATCAGCAACAACAATAGCCTCGTTTTCGCCTGGTTGGAACAATGATTTTGCTATATTTGTAGTGTGGTTTTGAACAAAGTCTCCATGAGATATGTGTTGAAATCCAAGGTTATCTGGTACAAAATCTTCCACTAAGGCATTCCTTGTGCTGTTCACTATACGCTGGATTTGTGAATATGTTAAATGAAATAACACACCAATTAACTTGTTGGACAATCCACTACGTAATTTGAAGAGAAACACAGCAAGACATGTCCGGATTGACCTAACTGCTGAATTATTAAGTGATTTCAAATGAGTGACAATTTCGTCAAAGTGCTGTTTGGTAAATCCTGTCAATGTTACATAATCTTCATTGGTTAAAAATATTGGCACATCGAAATTCAAATGTCCAGAATGTGTAGACAGCATCCTTCGAACTCCGGAGAGAAGACCTGTAATATCACTTCTTGAAAACCAGCCATTTGATTTCTTGGTTCCAAGTAATGCCAACGTATTTTCATTCAGATAATTGTTCTCAATATGGCTCTCACAACATCTACTATGGGGGTGTATGAATATACCACATACTATGAAGGCCTGAGTAGTTCCTTGTTGTGGGATGTTGGTTAAATGGTTTCTTTGGTTTGCATCTTTATGACATACAATACATGATTTATGAGATTTTGATATTGCGGGAAGGTTCAAATTAATAGTTTTAGGACTCGACAGTGTCTTTTTCTTTGGTGGCTGAGAAATGTACTCGTCATCATTAGTATTTACAGGTGTCTGGTGAAATATTGGAAGACTCCTATACACTCGTGCCGTACATGCCCCGCATATCATGGCATTGCTACTCACGTCCCTGCAAACACATCGCTCCACATATCTTTTAAAGGCCACGCCAGGTGGGATATGCCTTCTAAAATTTGGTTTACACCTTTTGAAGCACATGCAACATGGGATGTCTTTTGGCATCTGGAAAGAAATATTTGATAAGTATATTAATACTTTATACCAACCATATAAATCACAGTAACGTAGAAAAGTATAAAAAGAATATGTAAACATAAAAGTGACAACTTTTTATGTGGAACTCAAAAGAATGTGTGTTCTATACATTGTATAAGAAATTAAAAGTTGTAAACATAGATATTATATTCATATTTAAATTACATAACATATTTTTGTCATAATTGATCAATAATTACACATTATTTAGTGAATATGTTGTTAAGTTTTTTTACAATAAAATGAAGAAAACATAATAAAAAGGAACAGGCACCAGCACGACTGTAACTCACACAAATGTCGATAAATGTTTGTGAAATATGGATTGTCAACAAGATTTGAACTCACAGTTTAATTAATATTACAAATATTTTTTTCTTAATGTGAAAAAAATAAAATGTTGCTAAGCACTTTCAAGAACAGACTACATGGTTGCATTTTTAATTGAATTAAGAATAGGTATTCTTTTTATTTGAAATCAAAATAACTAAATAAAAAAGAGTTGTCAACAGCATTTGAAGTCAGAGCTTAATTAATTACACAAATAGTTTTAATTAATGTTAAAAATAATAATGTCTTGCAAAGTTCTCTCTAGAAAATATGTATTATAGTTTTGTATCTTAAATTGAATATAAAACAATAAAAAATAACAAAAAATAAAATTAATGATCATCAGGATTGGCAACCATAATTGCGGTCCTTATGCTCCTGAGCCAACCCTCATACCACTACACTACGGTACATCATATGCAACCGTAAGCTATTTTGAAAGTATATATACACCGACTATGTTGGCTTTCTCTCTGGCCGTTTCCAAGACAATAAGTATAAATAGATGCACTCTTTCATTTCTATTTTCCTTAGTTAGTAAAACGAATATTTTCAGACAGAAAGAAGACATTTTCAGTGGACTTCAACAAGACACACAGTCTCTGTTGAAGTTTATAATGAATTACTCTTGTATTTATTGTGAGCTCGCCTTCAGACGACACTTCACCGTTTGTTCGGCGATCAACATCAACAACATTCAAGCTGGGCTTGGTAGCACAGAATAATACTGTTTCAGAACTTTAAAAAGTATTGAGATACCTTTAAATAGATTTTATTGTTAATAAATGACATTTGAATAAATTTTTTAACAAACATCACACAAAGTTAGTGGATTTTTTGCCGTCTACCTGTATTGGGGCATCTGTCAACCAGACGTAAAACTGATGATGCAATCAAGTGCTGCAGACGTCCGATGAATAAAAAACTTCATTTTTTATATCACATCAGTTAAACATTTTTGCTAACAAGAATAAATCTTACCTTTCTTGGTTGTGAAAAATTAAGGAATTGTTGGTTTTAACTCCATCATTTGAGTGTTTCTGCTGCAGTAAACAAAAATATCGATAGCGGCGAAGTCCGTTTTCCGTGTTCCGGACCATATATTACACGCGATCTTGCATCAAAACGCCGAAAAATAATTTTAAAAACTATTTTTTTAATATGAGCGCAGTCTTGAACAAGTTTTTCCTTTTAACACAATGACTTTATTAAAATTTTTATTTTGTAGCATCAATATGAAACTTGTTCAAGCCTGCGCTCATGGTAAACTTCAGTAAAATGTACCCACGAAATGGGGGAAATCACCGATTTTCGTGTTTTTTTGTCAATTTTCAAACAGCTATATTAAAAAATTGGTGATATTTTTTAAATCTTGAAAACAATTCTAGAATCATGGACACTTCCATTATTAAATGTCTTCACTATTTTGATTTTCTGAGACAGTTTTTCTTATATTGGGGGTGCATAGGTACCCAAACCATACATACTCCTTTCTAAAGATTACAGATCCCGAGAAAAGGGATTTAATCGTAAAAGAGTTTCTCGAGCTGAAAAAGAGGCTCCAAAACAGAGATATAGAGAGACGGACTGGTGAACGAGAGTTACAAACAGATCTCAGTAAAATATTCAAATCCATAACGGACGTACAAAAAAGTACGGCAGAAGACATAAGGTCTGATACTAGCCCCATCAAAGAAAACCTATCGGAATTGAAGAAAATCACATTTCCAGCGTTTCCATCTATAGAGGGGTTTCAACAACAAGAAAAGGAAGATACTGATACGCAGTTTATCGGACCAATCGCGCAAGAATATTTAAGGAAGTTCGCCTCCAAATCCGAGGCTGATAGAACGTACGGGCTATACGATAAAAACGGCAATTTTTATATAGGCAATAAGCCCGTCGCCTTTGTAGATGATAACATAGTAGTGGATGGTGAAGAGTACCAAGGAACACCGGGATTGTGGGAACTCATCGTAACCAAGAATCCAGACGATCAAATATACACCGACCAGGACTACGAAAATTACGCGAAGATGATGATTGAATCGACCGCTCTCAAAAAAGGCAACGATCCAGAGAGTAACAGACCAGAGGCCAGCAAGGGGTTGAAATGGAAGAATGTGCTTAGAACCATTTGGACTAATAGGGATTATTACGAAGGGACCGGCACATCTGTTGTCATTCCTAGCGATCCTAATGAATTGCTCGAAAGACTAGACCTGCTGATGGCAAGCAAGGCAGCGGGTAACACAGGCGTTCGGAACGAGCTTGTATCGATTTGCGATGAACTAAAAAGACAAAAGGTGCTGGACGTCAATGCATATAAAAAAATAATATCTAGACTATAAAAAATAATGTTTATAGCAAAGAATCATGGATTTAGAAGACAGTATGTCTATGGCGGTGCTGGAATGTTTGATAGCATCGCAAGTTTTTTCACTAGATTATTTACTAGCAATGCTGCGAAACAGATTGCCTCTACCGCTCTAGATGCTGGTAAAAGCGTTGCTAAGGAAGTTGGGAAGAAAGCTATGGATGCTGGAAAGACTGCAGCTCTTGATGCTGGAAAGAATTTCCTTGAGAAAGGAGTGCGCGGTCTCGCACGTAAAGCTCTTACACCCAAATCTCGAGCAATTCTACAACGGCGAAGCAGTCATCCCCAGTTGATCAGAATATCCATTCACTAATAGATGGGAGCGGAATGCAGCAACAGAGGGCGATTGCGATTCAAGACCTCGTCAAAAGATTGAATCAAGGATCTGGTCTAAAATTGATTTAAAGAAAAATGAAATCTATAATAAAAAATGGCTATCGAATTCAAGCGTCACGATTACCAAACACGCGATTCATGTATTTTGGTCAAGAATGCAAGGATCAGCCTTGAAGGGTGTGAATTCCTTGAAACTGAAGATGTAAATGGGCATCATAGAGGTGTTGTCTTGAAACTACCCGAAGAGAAGGTAGACAGGATGAAGGAGATTGAGGGAGAGGTTAATGATTATCTTTATAACGGGTTTAGGCAAGATAAAGCTTGTCTACGAAAACAAAATTTGTGCAATGTATTGGAAATGTACTCCTAAAGAACACTTTGATAGTATTGTGTTGTCGGACGTGTATGTTAATAATGCTGGCAGGGCGCTCGCCCATTTGTGGGTTCTGTAAATTTTTTTTATATCTGTAAAATGATATAAAAAAATTTTCTCTTGCTAATAAAAAAATAAAATATGATGAACATTCTAAATTTTACTGAGGCTCCCATGAAGGATGAGAGCATCGAAGAATACGAACACTATGAGTACGATCCGATTACCGGTACGAATCTCAATAACCCAGGTGAGCTCAGGATCAATATTGAAACACAAGATCTGTTTACTCACCCAAGCGAGAGCTATCTGATCATCGAAGGGCGTCTGACAAAAACTGACGGGACCGCTTACGCAAACGATGATAACGTTACACTGACGAATAATGCTCTCATGTATCTTTTCAGCAACATCAAGTACCAGCTTTCAGGACAGGAGATTGAATCTCTCTTTCATCCAGGACAGGGTACAACGATGCTTGGTCTGTTGAAATATCCAGATGACTTCTCCAAGTCGCAGGGTTTGAATCAATTGTGATACAAGGACACATCAGCTGCAGCATCTGCAGCTGCAGCAGCAGGCAATGCCGGATTTAGCGTTCGCCAATCCTATATAACCAAATCTCCTGATCCAAAGGGCACATTTAGTTTCAGAGTACCACTCAAGCACATCTTTGGATTTTGCGAAGACTATGACAAAATTGTGTATGGTATGAAACAAACCCTGACTCTGGTGCGGAAAACGGACAACGATGCGATCTTCAGGAATGCAAATGTTGATGATGGGAAAATTACCTTCGAAAAGGTGTCGTGGTTTATGCCTCATGTACTACCCGCAGATGCTGAAAAATTTCAGCTTTACAAGACACTCGATTCAAATGAGCTTCTACCCGTAATGTACAGGATCAGGCAATGTGATTACATCTCCATACCACAGTCAACTAGCTTCACCTGGAGACTATCTGTCAAATCAGCGCCTGAAAGACCGCGCTATATCATTGTCGGTTTCCAAACTGACAAAGACGGTGACCAAGAGCAGAATCCTTCCATCTTTGACAACGTCAATGTGAGGAATATATTTGTCATGCTAAACTCGGCTAGATACCCCGCAGTTGACTACAACCTCTCCTTTCCCAAACAGCAATTCAGTCGGGCGAACGGTGATGTAGCAGCCTTCAGGTCCAAGTTTTACAACATGGACGAGTTGGTGTCAAACCCCAACATCACCCCGCCGATTACAAGACACTTTTCCCACTGTTTGTGTTCGACGTCAGCAAGCAGAGTGAGCGACTGAAGACCGCAGTCACTGACATCCAAATAAAAACTCAGTTTAATGCCAACGTGCCAGCGGGTACCGAAGCATTTGCTGTTGTGATTAGTAACAAGATGATAAACTTCAAGACCGATGGGAAGAAGGTAAACGTTGTATATAGCTAGATTTCTACATTTCTTGAAAATGACTTTAAGAAAATAAAAATCTATAATAAAAAAAACAATGTTGAAACTGTCTGAATTGAAAACAATTCTTCGTGAGAATAAAATCAAAGGTTATTCTCATTGCGGCAAGAAGCGGCTGATCGAGCTGTTGAAAGGAAAGGAATTAATACCAGAGGAACCACCCAAACCAGTGAAGACAAAGAAAGAGGTAGATCCAATGGCAGTTAGAAATAACCCCAAACCTGTTGTGTTGAGGGATGTTGATACTGGAGAGGAGATTACATTTCCATCCATTTATAAGGCATCTCAATTCATAGACAAATCCTCGAGGATAATAACCTTTTGGGATGGAAGGGTGTGGAAAAGCAAGATGTAAGCAAAAAAAAATGTTGTATGTGGGTTAACATATACAACATTCATGAAAGAATAATTTTTTTTTGAAAATGACTTATAGAAAAAAAAATCTATATATAATAAAAACAATGAGTCTTTTCAGAAGAATTAGTAATGCGGCTATGAATGCTGCAACAAACATTGCTAGAGGAGCAAGACGACTGGCATCGGCTTTCATCCCACAGAGGAATCCTCCAGATCAAAATTTCTTAGATGCAGATGTACCTAGCATCAATGTGCCGACTCTTCAAACTGTCCTTATCCCTACAACCAGGGACAAGGTTAAACAAAAGGTAAATAAATCGATCAAAGCTGCTGTAGATTGGGTTGAATGGCTGCATGATGCAGACAGAGAAGTTGTTAAGAAGGCCCCATCGAAATTAAAAGCCTTGAAGGAAAAAGTAGATGCTTTATTCAGAAAGCAGCAGATGTTTGAAATCAGAGAGACAAGATCTGCTCTGAGGAAATTTACGACTCAATATACCATAGATGGCAGAGAGGGGTTTGATGCTCAATCGTTTCTCAACACAGCCCGACAAAATGTAGTTAACCTCTTGAGAGGAATCCGAGGCACTAAGGTAAAGCTAATTCTTAGATGTAACATGGAAAAAGTGAACCTTGTCAGTGCCTCGGAAACAATCGTAGAGCCTGCAGCCTTTCACTCTAATGTCGAGATTAACCTCGATGGAACAGATGCAGATGAGCTGTATGATGCAATGGTTGATAGAGTCATGGAGGCCATGGCGACATTCCAGTTGCGAGGCAGCAACTGGACATTTAAATCTATCATTGCCATTGAAATTCATACAGTTGCTTATGAACCGTTGAGGGGGGGCTCTTACATCCCTACTCCGGAGGCCCTTGCACATCCTAAAATGGGAGTGATCAATGTAAAAAATGATGACAACAGATGCTTCCTCTGGGCACTGGCTCGAGCATTACATCCCGTAGAACGTGATGCTTGCCGCATAACTAAGATGCTCAGAATGCAAGCAGAAAAACTCAACATGGACGGTATTGATTACCCAGTTAGTCTTAAGACAATAGATCATGTCGAGAAGCAAAACCCAGACATATCTATTACTGTCTTTGGCTATGAAACTAGTGTTCACCCCCTCCGAATAAGCAAACACGTTGATAGGGTAACAATAAACCTTTTATTGATCACTGATGGGGAAAAGCAGCATTACTGCGTCATCAAAGACAAGAGCCGTTTGTTGTCCAGCCAACCGGAAACCACCAACACAAAAATTATTACTGTCTCAGATGTTTGAACCCCTTCTACTCACAGGAATCGTTGAATAAGCACATGGAATACTGTTATTCAAACGAGGCCGTCAAGATAGAGATGCCAGAAGAGGGTTCGACCATTTCGTTTGCACATACACAAGTCCATGAGAGTGCCGTTCACAGTGTATGTTGACTTTGAATCTTTCATCAAACCCGTAGATACGTGTGAACCGTGTCCGGGAAAGAGCTACACGAAGAAATACCAGAAACACACCCCATCGAGCTTTTGTTACAACATCAAATGCTTTGATGATGGTGTCTTCTCTAAAGATCCGGTTACCTACACCGCGAAAACTGACGACGAAGATGTCTCCCAAATATTCGTAGAAATGTTGGAGAAAGACATCAAAGAAATTGGCAAAATCCCTGCGAAACTAATGATTTTTGGGGAAAATGACCGCAAACAATTCCAAAAGACGACAAAGTGCTGGATCTGCGAAGGTGAGTTCGGTAAGGATGACAAGAAGGTGAGAGATCACTGTCACGCTACTGGGAAATACCGAGGTGCAGCTCACAATAGTTGTACCTTGCAGTACAAGAAGCCGAAGTTCACTCCCGTGGTGTTCCACAATCTGAGCGGCTATGACAGTCATCTGTTCGTCAAGAACCTCGGTAAAACTGAGGGGAACATCAACTGCATCCCGAACAACGAGGAAAAGTACATCAGCTTCACCAAGGAGGTTGTTGTCGGTTCTTATACTAGCAAGGACGGGAAAGAGAAGGATGTTAAGCACCAGCTCAGATTCATCGACAGCTTCAAGTTCATGGCCTCTAGCCTGGATAAGCTGTCCGGTAATCTGGATCAGGACTGCTTCACTAACACTTCGAAGTACTATAACGGAAAACATCTAGACTTACTAATGAGAAAGGGTGTCTACCCATATGAACTCAAAAGACTAGATGAAACAGCCCTTCCACGAAAAGTAGCGTTCTACTCCAGACTCATTGGAGAAGGGATTAGTGACGATGCACAAACTGTGTGGAAAGAGTTTGGCATGAAGTCACTCAGGGACTACCACGAACTGTACAACCAGTCGGACGTGTTGCTCTTGGCAGATGTCTTTGAGAACTTTAGAGACGTCTGCATCAAGAACTACGATCTTGACCCTGCCTGGTATTATACAGCGCCTGGACTAGCATGGGACGCTGCCTTGAAAATCACCGAAGTGAAGTTGGAGCTGTTATCAGATCCAGACATGTTGCTCATGGTGGAGAAAGGTATCAGAGGCGGGATATCGATGATCAGCAACAGATATGGCAAAGCAAACAACCCATACATGGGTGAAACATTCAACCCCCATGATCCTGCGAAGTATATTGCCTATTTGGATGCCAACAATCTCTATGGTTGGGCCATGAGCAAACCGCTCCCTACACACGGATTCGGGTGGATGACAGACAGTGAACTGGACTCTTGGAAGAACCACAGCTGTATACTGGAGGTTGACCTTGAATATCCAAAGGATCTGCATGATCTCCACAATGACTATCCGCTCGCTCCAGAAAGTCTCAAAGTCCATAATGTGGAAAAGCTTATTCCCAATCTCAATGACAAAACTAACTATGTCATTCACTACGAGAACCTCAAACTATACGAGGGCTTGGAAATGAAGATTACAAAGATCCACAGGGGCATCAGGTTCGAGGAAAGTGCATGGTTGAAGCAATACATCGACCTGAACACCAATCTCCGAGCAGAGGCAAACAATGAGTTTGAAAAGGACTTTTTCAAGGTCATGAACAACTCTGTTTTCGGAAAGACTATGGAGAACATTAGGAGCCGAGTGGATATCTGACTAGTCAACGACGAGACAAAAGCGAAGAAGTTGGCAGCAAAACCCAATCTTAAACATTGCATCATCTTCGACGAGAACCTGGTTGCCGTACATATGAAAAAGACGAACCTGAAGTTCAACAAGCCCGTTTATCTCGGGATGTGCATCCTCGATCTGAGCAAGACGTTGATGTACGACTTCCATTACAATTACATGAAGACAAAGTACGGAGAAAAGTCAAAACTCCTGTTTACCGATACCGATTCCTTGGCATACGAAATCCAGACGGAGGACTTTTACAAGGACATCTCTGGTGACGTAGCAGCCAAGTTTGACACCAGCAACTTCCCAAAGGATCACCCATCGGGCATCGAAGTCGGTCGTAACAAGAAAGTGGTGGGGATGTTCAAGGACGAGGCAGGAGGTAAGATCATCCGAGAATTCGTGGGATTGAGAGATAAGTTGTACAGTTACAAGTTGCTTGAGGGGTATGAGGAGAAGAAGTGTAAGGGGGTGAAAAGGTCCGTTGTCAGAAAGAGTATTTCGTTTGAGGATTACAAGAAATGTTTGTTTACGGGTGAGGATCAGTTGCGAAAGATGAACGTCATCAGGAGCCACTGTCATGATGTGTACACCGAAGAAATTAACAAAATAGCTCTTTCGGCAAATGACGACAAGCGAATCATCCTCCAGGACGGGATGCGCACACTAGCCCACGGACACTTTAAACTTTAATAGATATATATAAAAATGAACATTTCAGTGGGAAAAGTCGTTCTGCCAAATAAACCGCTAAGTAATATCGAGTTAACGAGGGCTGCAGATGAATTGAAAATACCAAATTTTAGAGGAGTATTTCTGTGCGATACACTTCCGAAGAGACCAAAGAGAAATGAATGTGGGATTCTGAATTTAGATTCTAGTGACGGAGGAGGAACGCACTGGACCGCCTGGTACAAACAAGGAAAAAATAAATACTATTTCGATAGCTATGGCATACAACCTCCGAATGAGTTGATATCCTATTTGAAGCGAGGGATCTTGTATAATAATATATATATTAAAAAACATGCAAATTTGGATATATGACGTCAGAGTACAACATCCCACCACCAGAACCCGGTGTGTCTCTGTCGTACGTCAATAAGAATTTCCAAAGAAAAGCTGATGTGACTAAATTAGAGATGGATATCCAGGATCTAAGAGTCAAGTATTCTCAGCTATTAATGAATACACAAAAATTACAAAGAAAAATGAATAAAAAATATATAACTATCTGGGCTGAAGAAAAAGGTGGACTGGTGAAAGGGAAGTACGAATACTCGTTCGGTGATGGTGCAACAGGTAAAAACGCTGGCTATACCGTGCTAGCACCATCTAAAGTTTTGAAAATAGGTACGTCGGTTACAACACCAGAATCCACTCCCGTAGAGGCTGGTGTAGTCCTCGTGTTAAATGGTAGTAAAACTCAATGTAAAATTTTAAAGCCACAAGGAGAATTTAATCACGTTTCGGATGTGAGAGGAATCAGTTTAAATGTAGGTGATGTGCTCAACTTTGTAACCAACGTAACAACAACAAAAATTACCGGAGCTATTATTTCACTTCTATTAGAAATTAATTTATAAAAATATACATATAAAAAAAGAATGCCTGTTCACAAATTTGGATATATGACGTCAGAGTACAACATCCCACCACCAGAGCCCGGTGTGTCTCTGTCGTACGTCAATAAGAATTTTCTACGAAAGAATGGGTCTACCGTAACTGGTTCCATCGATATGGCGGGAAATACGTTAACGAACGTGTCGGATCCTGTGAACGCGCAAGACGTCTCTACTAAGAATTATGTCGATGGTCAAATTGTTAACCCTACACCCGTAACCACCCTCGTTACAGCAGGTTTGTATAATCTGGATGATACGTATCATATTATTCTAGCAGATACCACCAGCGGAAACGTTGTGCTAAAATTTCCGCCAACAGCTACCGTCGGTAAAGAATACTTAGTTATTCACGAAAAATACGGTAATCAATGTTCAATGTGGGATAATGAGAATAGAATAGTAAATCCGTATGACAGTACTGATACATCTGTTGGGACTTTACAATCTTTGATTGTTTTTGGTGGAGAATCGAGAACATTTACGTGGAGTGGTAAACATTGGATGGTTACTTCAAAGTCCATTCGTGAGGTAGCTAGAGTTAGTAAGAGAGGAGACACTATGACTGGATCTTTGCATATGGGAGGCCATGAAATAACTGGCCTATCCTTGGCTCAACCCTCGACTGATGGTCACGCCGCAACAAAAGGTTATGTGGATGCTGTTTTAGTTGACTCGTGGAGAATGTATGGTCCATATACTTATTTGCACACTCAAGCAGAAACTATCACCCCATCAACTTTACCTTTTATAACACTAACGATCTCAAATGTAAAGGCTGGGGATTATTTAGAGGTTTTCGTCTACCTGGGTGTGGATTATAGGAGTTACTATTTTATTGGTGATTTGGTGATGGTAGACGTTGAGACGGGGGATGGGTTGTTTGAAAACGCGCCCCTGATAAGTCAGTTTGCGGCTGATAGTAAAGGTACTAAGGTAAAAAAAAAACGGCCTACATGATGTATATGTCACCCGTTCCTATTACTCGTGATGCAAATGCTGTATGCACAATTAAGGTGAAAGCAAAAACAATATCACCAAGAGTATATCTAGAAAACCGGTGTAAATTATATGTGAAGCACATGAACAAATTTACTGCCTGACGCACGTCGCCCGTAACGTATAAGATTAGCGATCAAAACGGAGAAGAAATTCGGGGTACCTTCTACGAAGCCGAGTTGCAGAAGACGAGCCAAGAGGTATACAGGATAGAAAAAGTCGTCAAGAAGGGTAAAACGAGGTCGCTGGTCAAGTGGAAGGGTTATCCAGAGACGTTCAATTCATGGGTCAGCAATAAGGAGATAGTCGAGCTTGCGAGGCCGCTCGTTACATTATAGAATGTTTTTTCTTTAAGTCATTTAGACCCTGTTTAAACATTGTTGTGGTTGGTTTTGAGCTTGTTGAGTCAGATGTGTTAGTGGTTGGTTTTCAACCCTAATTTGAAAATGCGCTTATACCGGCAATTTCTTACTACTGGTGTAGGAGCCTGCTCTCAATGTATGACGGTGTGTAGGAGCCTGCTCCCCCTGCATGTCGGTGTGTAGGAACCTTCTCTCCCTGTTTGTCAATGTGTAGGAGCCTGCTCACCCTATATAACGTAACAAGCGTCCGTGTGTAGGAGGCTGGTTTGACAAGTTATAGGCCTAGTGACTTCTTATTTAGCGTATGCTTTTATCATTTTATAATATTGATGAAAGAGATGGGTTCAGATAATATTCGCTAATACAGATATTACAAGATGAAATACACCTTTTTGGCTTATGTATCTGTAGATTCATATCAGTTGAATCACAAGGGTTTGTTACGAATATATAGATATACGTCACATAGGCCTACCGATCCATTTCTTTTTGTAAGTCATTCGTAACAAATCCCGCTGGTTGAAGTTGAGTTACAAGAACTTGCTTCCAAATCAATCCTAAATACTGTATAAATTTAAACTTTGTTCATACTCTGAAGAGCTATATATACTTGAAAGAAGCATTGAAAGAAAATAATTTTTTTATACAACTATAAAAGAAATCAAAGTACTGAAAGTACTGGTATGCTAAGACCATTAAAAAATAACTTCTTTGTTATTAGCTTGCTATATACTGAAACCAGCTATATGCAAGCAGTAAATCATTGCAGCCCATAAAAAATTACCAGCAGATATCAGAAATAACAAGCTTAGTAGTATTACTTATGTAATACATGTCCCAAGTAGGCTCCAAGATGCAATGAAAGAAGTTGTCCATTTCTTTGGATACATTGTAGGGAATGTTGATCTTGGACACCATATTATCACTTTAAAGATTGCGTATCTTATTGGTTTAAGACCATTAGTTAGACCATCATGCAAATAACATGCTACATACAAATATTGGACAGCTTCATTTTCCAGATTGTTTGTAAATGACTGCATAAGAGTGCCAATTTTCTAAAACAAACATGATTTGTCACCATAACTTAAAATGGAAGATGCCTATTCTTCTGGAACACCTGGTCTTATTCTCCTTGTACTTTTTCAGGGAATCTTCAAGTAGATATTGTCTTTGTTTCAATTTTACACTTGTTTTGCTGGTTCTACAATTCTGTTGACATGTTTATATATTCTTTGTTCTCTAAAACTTGTCGCAAGATATTTTAATCCTCTTGTATTATCATTTTTTAACATCCTTACAGTGACCTTGAACCTTGAAATTTGCAAGATGTGAATATCTTTTAGGTTGTGAAATTTGATAGAAAAACGAGGGTAATGCAAAGGAAAACATCCCCATGCAACTATCCGTTTTTTTACTGTGACCTTGATCTTTGACATCTGACCCTGAATTTCTAACGAAACCGACTTCTCATAAGGGATACATGTTCCAAATTTGATTAAGGTATACTAACTGTCTTAGTCTCAATGCGTTTACAAGGTAATCATATAGTACTTATGCAAGTACTGTGACCTCTACATTCAATCCTCAAAATCATTACTACATCCTCTCCACATTGCCCAGGGATAACTGAAACTGTAATCCAAATGATAACTAATACCCCAACACCCACAGCCTTAGTTATCTCCCCATGGTGACCTTTTGCACAGAAACATCCTCTGAAACACAGCGGCATGTGCACATGTTCCCTAACATTCCTGCGAAGTTTTGTTGAAATTGGTCCACAGGTTTAGAAGTTGACCGACATGCAAAACCTGTCTATATTGACCAGTTGCCATGGCAATCAATATTTTGAGGGAAAATGGTGCATGCACATCTACACATTGTCCCGAATATTACTGTAAAGTTTCATTGGAGTTGTCCAGACAAGATGTGTCTATAGACAGACAAACAGATGGATGGACAGATAGACAACTTGATTCGATTTAACCACCCT